TTTTCGAAGGGTTGTTTTAACATTGACGTAAACATCTAAAAAAATATAGATTTAATATTTCTCTCTTTTACTCGCTGTTTTACAACATATCGAAAGTTCATAAAAATTGTCGAGGAACAGCTCTGTTCCTTTCCTTGTCAGTACTCCTGAGAAGTTTTCTTACACAGTGACGTACGCCCGTACGCGTTATCAATATTCTTTTTCTTTATTTTTGTTTCTCGTTCTCGTCTCTTATTTTGAATTCTAATTTTAATAGGAAAAGTTATTATATATCACGTATCATATTCGTAATCTGAATCCACATCGAAAAATGGATATATATGGATGTTTCTTAAGTGGGATTGGGTAAAATTCTTATTTAGGTGCATAGTACCAGTAAGAAGCTTCTTTATCAACTGGATCATCTTGTGCAAGTCTGTAATCAACCGCAAGGAATTGACCATGTCGCCAGAAAACATGTACGTTAATTGGTGTATACAGGAACAACTATTATCGTTTTGTTTTTATTTTTACATTATTAAATTCCTCCCTGTGATCACTTCCCTGTGTTTAATTGTAAAGATTTTAGAAGGATTCTCACAATTGCAATGCACAGAAATAATTGGAGTCTAGTTTTTCATTAGAGAACACTACTTCCTACTATTAATTATATCTCCTCTTGTTATACTTGTTATAGTACTACTTGAATTCTATATACTACTTGAATTCTATATCTTGCATGGGATAAAGAAAAAGAGGCTTATTATATAAATCTTATTACTTAGCAGAGATAATAAAACATATGCTTGCTTATGCTATAATCACATATCTGGTTTGTATAAAGCTCATTGGAATAGTAGTTTTCGTCGATATTGATCGGGATGCATGCAGTATTATTTAGCTAGTTTTAAGGTCCATTTATACTTGTCCACTTATACTTGTGTTTCGTGTCTGCGATTTGTACTCGATAAAAAATTCTATATGATTAAATGAGAATATTTGTCCGTATTCGTTCGATTTGTATATGTCTCATTTAAATCTATGGAATATAATTTATCGTTCGCATGTGTACGTATGCATGATTGGATTGGATAAATATAAACGGACTTTTAACAATTAATCTTTCAGAATAATTTGTATCACAATGTATATCCTGATCATCTGATTTATACAGAGTCAAGATGGACACAACATTGACACACACAGCGGTACAAGCGGTAATCCGGCAGCTGATTACAGCGAAGGCGCATCTCACGTTTTAGCTGTTATCCATCAGATTCTTGGTCATCATAGGGCATTAGAAGCTCGTTGGCATGCCCGAAAAGTCAAGCTACATCAACGACTTGCGTTGAGGTATGAAAACAGTGAAATTTTATTTAGTCTCGTATTATCGACACAAAATGTGTATTTATAATTACTAGATTGTTCCAAGAAGATGTGAAGCAGGTTCTCGATTGGCTGACGAACCACGGCGAGGTTTTTATCAGGAAAAATACAGGCGTTGGTCGTAACTTGCAGAAAGCGCGGGTTTATCAGAAAAGCCACGAACATTTTGAAAACGTTGCTCAGGTAATTCTACGATATGATATATCTAATTTTACACATATATACGCACGCGCGCATACACAAACACATACACATATGCATATATACATAAATATATATATATATATACACACACACACACGCACACATATATACACATATTCATATATAAATATATATATACAGGGTGTCCCACAACTGATAGAACACCTGTTAGGGGTAGGTAGAGAATGCAATTTGGAATTAAAAATTCCTCTTCCATCTTTGGATCCGACAATTAGTTAATGAGATATTAATTAATTAAGTCTGCCAATTCTTTAGCACCCTGAGTGAGCGCTCAGGGATGTAGAACGCCGTGAGCCCTTCAGGGGCCTTGCTTGTCCGTTTCTCTCCTCTTTTTGTACACATACACTAAAATCATTCATGATACTCAACCACCGACATGCAGAAAACATTCAAGTCACCTGCGCACTCGAAGGAAACATACCACGTATGCTCTCCCCCTCCGGCACATAAAGTGCAAGCACTCCGCCTACTCGCACCAAAAACATTCAAATTATCCATGCACTTGTAACCGCACGCAAAAACACCCATACATTATCCCCACATATTGAAAACTTGCCACCTTCCTAGCCCCGGTCTATCAAGCACTCATCCAAACACCCACTCACTCACTCATCCATATTTATTCCTCTGAGATACAAAAGAGGGAAGAAAATGGACAAGCAGGGTCCCTGAGGAGTCCACGGCGTCCTACGGCGTCCCTGAGCGTTCACTCAGGGCGTTAAGGGATTGGCAGACTTAATTATTTAATATCTCATTAACTAATTATCGGATCCTAAAATGAAAGAGGAACTTTCAGTTCCAAATTTCATCTACATACCCCTAACGGAATGTTCTACCAGTTGTAGAACACCCTCTGTGTGTGCGTGCGTGCGTGCGTGCGTGTGCGTGTGTGTTACATAGATGTGTATACAGGGTGTCCCAAATCACCTTCACAACCTCTCGTGAGGACGTAGAGCGAATTAAGATGAACACAAAAGTCCCATATCGTTTTGTGATATTCGCAATAATAATAAAATATTAATTAAAGAAGATTGGTGAATGATCACGCGCGATATGATAGATGAGCTGCAGTGGCCGTCGTATACTTATACATTAAGTCAAACTGAATAAAAATGTCTTCTACCATTTTGCAAATGACCACATAGAGTTTTAGATATTAATTAAAGAAAATTTGTACATTATGATACACAATCATGTAACAATTTTCTTTAATTAATATCTAAAAATCTACATGGTCATTTGCAAAACGGTATAGGACTTTTGTGTTCATCTCAACCCGCCCTAGGTCCTCACGAGAGATTGTGAAAGTGATCCGGAACACCCTGTGTATATACATATATATATATATATATATATATATATATATATATATATATATATATATA